GTGCTGAGTGTCCCTTGGGCAGCTGAGACTCTCCAGCCCCCACCCCGCCTTCTGCTGACCCATTTCTTTGTCTCCTTCCAGTTAAAGCAATTATCGAGCACGAGATGAAGAACGGAATCCCAGCCAACCGCATCATCCTGGGGGGGTTCTCACAGGTGAGCCGGGCTGAGGCGGAGCACGCTGAGGGTTGCGTCTCCTCTTCCCCCCACTAACACTCCCCTTGAAGGGAGCATCCATGGCAGGGAGGCAGGTGGGTGCCGGGCCTGGTGGGTGCCACGGATCTGCAGATCCCCCCCGTGTTACTAACAGAGCTTCCTTCCTCGCTGCAGGGCGGCGCGTTGTCGCTGTACACGGCTCTCACCTGCCAGCACCAGCTGGCCGGCATCGTGGCCCTCAGCTGCTGGCTCCCGCTGCACAAGGGCCTCCCCCAGGTATCTGCGCTGCCGCGTGTGTCTGTGGAGGGGAGCAGGGGTTCCTCCTCACTGGGGGTCTCTTATTCTGGGCACCCCTGAGCTTTTCCTTCCTCGCTGCAGGCAGCGAATAACGGTGTGAACAAGGACATCGCTATCCTGCAGTGCCACGGGGAGATGGACCCCATGATCCCCGTCCGCTTCGGGGCCCTCACTGCTGAGAAGCTGAAATCTGTCGTCACTCCCGCCAAGGTCCAGTTCAAAACCTACCCTGGTGTGATGCACAGTTCCTGTCCTCAGGTCAGTGCCTCGGGAGGGAGAGAGGGGACGGGACCCTCAGGGGCTGGTCCCACTGGGCCAGGGCAGGGACATCGCTGAGTCCAGAACACGTGGGACGTGTTTTGTCCCTGATTCACTCTCGGGAGGCTGCGCAGCCCTTGTGCCCCCGCGCTCGGGGCGAGGCACAGCCCTCGAGGAGCCCTGGAGTGACGGGCTCTGTGCTCTCCACAGGAGATGATGGCGGTGAAGGAGTTCATTGAGAAGCTGCTGCCCCGGATCTAAGCGGAGCCAATCGAGACTGTCGCAGGGAAGGACGCCGAGGTCGCAGCTGACCATCTTTCCCCTGTGACCCGTCCGCTGCAAACGGAAGCCATGGCACCCCACCGCACCTCATGCTGTAACCCCGGCCCCCGCCTCTCCTCGCACCACGTCCTCTCTGCCTGGGGGGGCCCCTC